AGCATGCATAACTTGGATAGCTTCTTGGGCCACATGTGAGACTCTGTGACTCTCAGCGATGCTTCTGTATGCGACACATGCAGCATTCAGTCATGTCTCTGTACCCATTTAGATGTTTCTAAAGACACTCGGCTGTCCCTTTAAATTTCTGTGAAGGCTTTCATGTATTTAGATGTACAAAGTACGTATGGTTCGCCGGTCATCTATGCTTTAATTTGTGCAACTTTACATGTGTGAGGAACAGTTGTGAATATATCTACTTTAAGATCTACTTTAAGTTCAAAGACAGATTTGTCTTTGAACACATAACAATTTCAGTTTTATTAAAAATATCTTAGAAGGATCACAAGAACATAAGCAAATATATGTTTTATGTCTTAACTCCTCTCTTAGCTGTGATGTTTGGTCCTTGACTTCCTGAATACAATCGTAGGATCAGCTTTGGTCAATTTCATTTTTCAGTGAAATGGACTTTGATCTTCGGGCATTCAAATACACTTAAATGCAAAACACTGAATGAGGAAGCACATGCAAAGACAAACCTTTTATTTATGCTTGTGCTTTGAGCCTTACCAGCCTGTATTTAAATGGACTTTGTTTGTGGCCCCTGCCACTCGTGTATCGGCCTCAGGCCTGAGTGTTTCTCCCGAATCCTCTCAGCGTGCCCATTATGTAACACGTCTGCCACAGTCTACTCCCTGTCCTCCAGAAGTCCTTTGATGCTGCTGCACTGACATCCTGGTGTTCGGCATGTCGCAGCACTTAGCCTCTGAGTTGTATTTTCCTATGAGACATCCATCATTTGTCAGAAAATGATACTGCACTTAGTGAAAACATACAGCAGCCACTTTGCCAGGCTGCCAGCATGACTGGCTGGATGGCAGTACAGGTCTGTCAAGTCGGGTCTGTGGCTTGAAGTCGGATCATTTCAAGCCTAAAATGATGAGTGCATGCGTCTAAAATAAGTTGAAGTCTAAGAAAAGCAGTGAAGCTGGCTGGATTTCCCCTTTTTACCTAATGGCAGCAGCAGTGGTAACTTGAGCCGAGCTCTCACTATGAGCAGTGAGCCCAAATGGCATCTGCTGAAGACATTTTTGCTTTTCTTTTTGAAGTACAGGGCTCAACAGT